ACGGCTGTCCACTCGTCTAATACTTTTTATGTAACTAATGCTGTTGCGTCTTGTATGTTTCAGACGACGAGGGTTACTTACCAATGAGCCCAGTGAAACAAAGCGTATTCAACCCACGCGTTCAAGGTACCAAATTCGATTTCGACGCTCGAAAATTGTCCCCGAGAGCTTCTGAGGCGAATAGTTACGGATCAGAGTCTACACCTATGTTGACTTTGAACAATCTGCCGAGAAGTGGATCGGAATCCGATCACGAGGGCAGCAGCTCGCCTTACATGAACATGTGTCCGCGTATAGAGGAAGAATCTGACGAAGTATTTGAAATGAAACAGAACAAATAACGGTAGAAATATTTCTACTACAACCCAGTGCAACAGTGACGAATTGAACTTATATCACCATATCTTAACAGAAGACGAGAAGAAACCTTAGAATTTTTCAAATGCTTACGTTAATGTTCACAACGTACATACTGAAAGATCTAGTCAAATGAATGTCTTATCATATTAATAGTAACTTTAAATTTAGTAATCTGTTAGATTTTATTATATCTTGAATTACTAAGAGGACGCCGATGTGTAATTGATATGTAACATTAACGATCAAGTCAATTTGATGTCAATGTAAGAATCGAACTGCCTCGGTTTCGTGGCCGAACGGTTACCATGCCGGATGCAGAGGTCCCAGGTTCGATTCTCGGCCCAGAAGAAATATTTGTATGGCCTACATTTATTTCTCTCGTGAGTTTGAGTGTAATTTGCGATCGTCTGCGTGTGTATCAATGACACCCAGGTAGGGTTTCCCTGGTGTGGGGCTTTGTTGAGTACGTGCGTTATTATTATATATTATATTATTAATCCACACTTCATACTTATCTCTAGTACATAATGAGAAAATATTTATGAGAAAATTTGGTTTTATGTTAAAAGCATATTACATGAAAAGAAATTGAGGGTATATTTCTACCTTATTCACTCACGGTGTAATTTTTGTATGTCTATTTGCGAATAGTCGCGTTGTAAATATTAATGTACACTTGTAGGATCTCTTAGTTCTGACTTGAATCAAGTTACTTTTGCTTCCACCAAAAACTATCCTTTAATTAATCAAAATAAATGTTTGTTTTAGCGTTCATAACTTATTGTTTAGTTTTTGTTTTTATTGTATTTACAACGCACTAGTCAGTTTACAACATGAACGATAATACAAATGTATGGATTGATATCATTATTTTCAATAAGAATGCAATGAAGACATGAGTTATACAGGGAGTCTTGAATGATATATTTTATTAACACATACGAGATTCTGTACACGGGTATTAAGTATTTTAAGTAATGATGTACTGTATAGTGCTTTATCTAATTACTTCGTTTGAGACACGCTATCAATCACTATAATATACCTAGCGGCCATATAAAGGTAATAAATGTGATATTAAAATTTAATGTTTTTTATTTCATCAATTAACAAAGATGTTAGGACATGATGGTCAGGTAAACACAATAAGGAGGGTGAGGGAAATGAGTAACATTTTGTTAAATTCCTCTTTATTTTCGTATTATTCTTAATAAAAGTTGTTCTTTGAAGTTCACGCTGTGATTATAACCTGAAGATCATGTTTGTAACAGCATTTTGGACGTAATTTTTTTGCTGTGCTTATAGAAAGTTGCATAAAATTGAATTTAAATCTTAAGTGTAACAAATCAGACTTATGTCGATTATAATTTAGATATATAAAGCCGAGTACTCACTAGCGAACTGTAACCATAAAGCCGAGAACTCACCAGTGAGCTGTAACCGTAACCGTTGCATGTTATGTTACTAAAAATCATGGTGTGTACGTGGTTCGCGAGCTTGCCGCGAGCGGAACGCGTGCGGTTTGCAGTGAGCCGTCCGATTGAAAACTGTTTCAAGCGTACACACTAGAATCTCGTTACTGTACCTGTCACGTTGCAGTTACAGCTCGCTATTGAGTACCCGGCTTAAGGAGTGCTTAACAAAACGACAGACAAAGGCAAAGAAACAATCTCTTGCGAGGTTAGACAATTAATTTCACACGGTCCATTCTTTAATCTTTTGTAATCCTACGGTTTTTTTGTTGCGGTATGAGAAAAACACATATATTCCTATATAACATTTTCTGGTCGTGTAAGAAAAAAATTATTTAAATATACTTTTCATGAATCCAACTATAACGCTTTCAATACCTTCCGCGCCCTGAAAATAAAAGATATGCTTGTCAATTAGAACGTCAATAGTTAGAAAATAGAAATTAAAGAGTCATCGTACGAGATCACTACGAAGTTGTTAATTTTTTTTGCAACGGGTTTTATAACTATTTAAAAACGTTAGTAACATATTTGTGTAGGGTTTCCCCTGACTCCACATTTGTGGAGTGTGGACACATTCATAATATTTGAAAGTATCATGTGATGATACGAGATTATGTGATTCGCGCATCTTACCCGTACCATACAGGTTGTTATCAAAATATCCAAACTCTATTCGGAATACAATGACCCTCGTTCAACCCTTCGAGAAAACCTTACTACTTTGTATTTTCTTATACTCACGTCTTTAAGGGCTTCCACAACGCCCAAAGGTATATCTATAAGCATCTTCGCAAAACTTGTCAGGGCCTGAAGATTGAATAATATAATCATATAAAAAAAATTAAAAAAAAAGAATTAACAGTGTCAAAACAATGAAATATATTGTGAAAATACATAATGTACTTATGTACGAGTAGGCAAGTTACATACGCTTTCCATATCAAAGGCATGCAGGCAGGCAGGCAAAATGCATCATAAACCTCTGGACACGATTGCAAAGCATAGGTGTGTTTTAAAGAGACCAATAATAAAATTATAGCTGAAGCCAGCATTATTCAAACTCTAGTCTTATATAAAGATTGGACGAAATTTGATGGATTTCCATAGATGCCAACCAGTGGCATCTATGGAAGCGTCGATTTTTTCCACCCGGGGCCAACCTTAAATTTACTGCCCCTCTATTTTCACGATTACAAAAGTAGTTCATTCGGGCAGGCTCGACTCGATTGTATTTTTATGTTCGCCTGCCGTCGTCACCTTTTTATTGTTAAAGATATCGTTTTCTCAATTAATGGAATTTATTTTCTAATTTTAAGTAAAAAAAATATAATTGTGACTAGTTGGGGCTGGAACGCACTCGTCGCCGCCCCCACTGATGTGCTGCCCGGGGCCATAGCCCCCTTTGCACCCCCCACGCTACATCGCTGATGCCAACAACAAATTGAAGGACATAAAAGGACATGGCTGCAGGTGATCCTTCAGTGCGCCTGGCCATATGTCACGTGTGCTCTTAAGGTTGCTTTACTTCTTATTTAATAGCGTTTTTGGCAAGGATAAGTATGGAATTACTTACGCCTGGTTTACTAGCTTCTTTAGGTGGAGCCTTGCTATGAGAACCGGTACCGCCGCCTCCTGAAGCCGGGACTGGGCTTGATTTGTTAGCCTGACATATCACCACAACTAAGAGAGCCATCGTTACCGAGAATACACAGTGTACATGTGCCATTGTGATAAATATTTTTATTCAAAGAATAGTTAAACTGATATATGATGACTGATGTATGAATAGTATTGTACGATCGAGGCACTAAAACTTTGATCTGACAAACAGTGTATTATCTATTAAAATACCACAGCGTTCTCTACAAATCATCTGTAATGATGTGGAGCTGTTACTGCGGTGTTTACTAAATCATGTATTCTTTATATACCGTCAGTTGAAAAGCAATACCCTTTCATGCTCTATAACTAAACAGAAGGTCGCCCTTGCTTACAAAAATGTTAAGGGTTCCAGAGGGTTTTATTTGAATTAATTGCGGACAAAATTGGGTATCTACATGTATATAGGATTTCATAAGATATGTTCATGTGTATTTATATCTACGTACCAAGAAATAGGGGTAATTAAGTTCTCACTGAGATCGCTTATTCGTTAATGAATGTCTGCTATTATACTTGGTACTATGTTCTACCATATTTACCAAAAGGTAGCTTATTTAGGGCTGAGTTTCACCAACCAATTATATTCATTTATTTTGACACATCCTTTGATATTTAGTGAAAATAATGCAAGAAATACTACTACTTACTTAAAAACTACTCTTCTCTGTTCCACTTTGGTAGATTCTACTTCCATTCACGTACTTTATACCTCTGAATAAACTGCAATTATATTGATACCAAATGACTGGACGAACAAGTCGCTCGCCTGGTGTTAAGCGACACGCCTGTCCGTAGTGGTTGTAGTGTCACTCAAAGCTTTAAATCGCAAAGATACGAGGAACACTGCCAGTGCGCCTGTGACTCTGAGACATAAGTTGGCCAGTCCTACGTGTCTGTAATTTCACCAGCGGCCTTAGTCTTCAAAACTGGATCGCAATAATGCTCACATTACTGCTAGGTAAGTGGCAGTACTGCCTTGGATGAAAGAAGATTCACTAGTGGCTCTCCCGTTACTAGTAGGTTACTATCAATTTACGAACTCTATCCGTTTAAATTATACAAGGCATTTTAAAAGGTTATTTGTATTTATTTTTTCAATAACATTATCAAAGTACACAGAAGACCTAGTAGGATTTTAGTAGCAGTAGAGCTCCTTGTGAAAGAGTTTGTTCAGGGAAGTACTGCCACCTTACCTATTACTGCCACCAAGCAGTAATGTCTGCATTACTGTGTTCCGGTTTTGAAGGGTAAGGGTGCTGGTGAAATTACAGGCACATGGAACTTGTCAACTCATGTCTCAGGGCGACGTGCTCAGTGGCAGTGCCCCTCAGATCTTGGCGATTTAAAGCTCTGAGTAACACTGCAATTGTCATGGATAGGTGTGTAGCTTTCCATCAGGCGCACGACATGTTCGTCGCGTCACTTGATACTATATAAAAAAAACCTTAAAAGCAATTTTGGAATTACAGGAAAAAATATCAACATTGTTTAAAAAAAATCGGTTAGTCTTGACACATAAATTTATTATAACGACATAACAATTTTTGAATTTATAATATTAACAAATATTTGAATTCCATTGGTTGCATTATCCAAGCAAGTCTCGAAAGGCATTTGCAAAGCCTAATTTTACCTGAAAACACAAAATAATACAATATTACATGTAGGTAAATTCCAATTAGGTAGGTAAAATCTCTATCTTCTAAGATAGAGTCTGTAATTATCGGTCAAATTTTGTTTTTGTTATATTAAATCATGAAGCTAGATCTCACTATACGGATCAAAAATTACGACCCATCATTTGATTACAAAAACTTAATATGTAACATCGTAAAAATATAAGGAAAAAGAATGCTGTAAATTGAGATTTGCGTTACGTTACGATGAGATATATTTTCCAATTTTTACGAAGTTATGTTTATGTGATTCATCGTATATAAAAGCGATGAACTATTTCTAGAAAATTTAAGGAAAATGGGATTTAATCATTGGTTTAAATCTTATGTTCCAAGTGTTATAACAATGATTAAATCCTAAAAATTAACTTTCATTTCATGCATTGCGTGAATAATAATCCAAGTGCAGAGTACTAAAATAACCGACTTCAAAATCGCCTAGTTTGCCACGCTCAGAGGTAGAATAATTTCTTCAAATTTAAATGGGAATTAAATTGGACTTAAACATAAAATAATCATAAAAATCGGTTCACAAATTATTGCGTAACATGCACAAAAAAAAACATACAGTCGAAGTCGATTATAGAAAATAAGTTTACAGAACAATATTATACTCACGTCAGTGCACGCTTTCAGAAGACCACCGAACACCTGTAAAGATATGTACGTTGAATTGTTTGTTTTTTGATTCTTACTTGTTATCAAAAGAAGTACTCGAATTTGTAGTAATAACTTTAGTATAAACATGTAAAGGTTAAGTTTAGTCATCACAATAATATATGATTCTACGGCAAATGGTTCGCTAAATGGAGAAAAAGTCTTAAGTAATTACTTAACCTATTTTAGTCAATTTCATGAGTTACTATTAAGCCAAGTTACTTACTCCCAGTGCTGTAGAAGGAGCAGCAGTTGTAGCAGCTCCTGGTTTCGGAGTGGTAGCATTCTGTGCTGCCACAAATCCAATCAACACCAGTGCAACAAAAACCAACTTCCAATCTGCTCGAGCCATTCTTTATTTAACACTGTCTGACCTTTTTGTCAACATATTCTTATATATCGATATACCATGTTATTAGTGTAACTAATTTATTGTCCATCTTGCTAGTGTGACGCTTGACATCAGCTACAAAGTACGCTTTGTGCATTTTGTGTATTTTTCTCAATGGCACTAAGGTTGTTTGTTTTGTTCCGCCCTGATAATTCTGACTTTGGCCTTTTTCAATAGAATACAAAATCTTTAACACTGAAACTTTTCTTTAGAACTGAAAACATTTTTAAATAATACTTAAAGAAGACAATTTGGAAGTAATATTTTACGCAGTGCTCTACTACCAGGCATTTAATATGCGGCCAGCGAGTTAACAAGCATTGTTTACGTACTTTTCTGTTTTGTACTTATATAGTATTTATTTTTACATATAGGCATTATTGAAACATAAATGATTGATTTTTTTGATGTACATGTAAACCAATATACCCCCGAAGTTTCGTTATTCAAATTATGTAATTGACTTACCATGATCAAGATCGTGAGCAAAGGGAAAGGAGGGGAGAAGCCTTTGCCCAGCTGAGGGACAAAATAGGTTTATAAAAAAATTGACTTTTAGTTATTTCTACAAGTAACTTAGTAAAATGTGCAAATTGAAATCCAAGGAAGGCCACTCAAGTAGACAAATTCTACTGAGTGTAAAAATGTAAATTCTTTCCCGTTACTTCGCCATGGCATGACCACGTATTTCATGCAAATTTATATGAATTTCTGATTGCACACAAGATCAACGGTTCGTCATGAAATGTGTGAAAAGCGTCGTTTTATTTTAAGCTTAATTGGAATCACAATGGACGTGATATATATGCAACATGAGCGGAACGCGTAACGGGACGTGTGGGTGACACAATGTTGAGATTAAAAGGACACAGCGGGCTGAGTTTCATCGTCAGGTGAACATGAAATACAGACACGTATTACAAGACTGATCAGGTCGTCACTTAACGTACACGCATCATATTAGCATAATAGTGAACACAAGTACTTGTTACACAAACACTGTTTATAATACGTATACACCTACATATACCCTACATACAGAAGTACAGTATATAATTACTAATTACATAGGAACATCATTCAATGGCCATGTGCCTGTAATTTCACCATGTAATTTCAATTACAGAGACTTGTCAACTTATGTCTCAGGGTGACAGGCACAGTGGCAGTGCCCTTCAGATCTTTGCGATTTAAAGCTCTGAGTGGCACTGCAACTGTTGTAGCGGTTGTACCGGTGTGTAGCTTACCATCAGGAAAACGACTTGTTCGTCTCGTCACTTGATATTATAAAAAAAATCGTATGTATTACCTCGGGTTCTACAATATAGGGATCGTGATTAACGTGAGGAAAGACGACCTCGGTGACCCAACAGTTTGCACTGCGGGTACCGGATGTGGAAGTCCCGGTCGCGATTCCCGGTAGGACCAATTTGGGAAATGATTTTTTTAAATTGGTTCTACAGTACAGGGAATTCTCTAATTATACAATGATATGTGTAATATAAATAAGTAGTAAGGCTAATGCGACGCTATTGATTGCGTTTTTGTATTGCAAAAACTAAAGACCTACCTACCTACCTAGGTGTGTTTCTAGCTTTCTCTACCTTAATTTTTTTTCTAAATGTTCCCTATCTGCAACCTGTGACGCTCATAACCTTATATATTATAAACATTGTTAGCCGCAATATATACATATTATTTGCAAATGTATATTTCTTTTAGGTTCTAATATACACCAATTGGTACAAAAAATAAACCTCATGTCAGGATCTCGAGAGAAAACATGGTAAATTCATGCGCACATTGCCGCGGCGGCGGCGGCGGCGGCGGTGCATCGATGCGACGCGTTCCGAGGGAATTCGCTGAATGCATTTGGTTTACGTCAACGACGCCGAGTCCGTATAGAGCATAATGAGACCGATTGTTTGCTGTTCATACTCATTTTGCTCAATAAATCGGTAAAGGCTTTGTGAAGATTTTCTCATCACACTCTTTTGTTACTTAAATGTATGTTGTGATCAATAATAATGGCCGAAATAGGGTGATCCAAATGAGTAGATAGCTGTCTATATCGTTTCCGCTTTCCGCTCATGTCATATATATATATATATATATATATATATATATATATATATATATATATATATATATACACACACATATGTATACATATATATACAAGGAGTGACATGGATTGGTTAAAACTACCTTTGGTATTATAATTATTAATACAAAGATCGAACACTCAGAAAAAATTCCTTCGATCCGGTCGGATTCGAACCGACGTCTTCTTGCATACCGTGCCAGACGCTATACCAACTAAGGCACGGAACGAACCAACGGACCTCACGAATTTTTCTATGTGCTTGTGTCGTGTCTTCGTCGTAACGCCATCTATGAGAAATCTATGACACTAGTGGAGTACTTTCACAAAAAATAATTGAATATCAATTCAATAAAAATTTAATTACCACCAAATATTATTTAATTACTAATTTAAATTCTGGAGTTCCGGTTACAGTTGGTGAAAATACAGGCACATGAGATTTGTCAACTTATGTCTCAGGGTGACGAGCGCAGTGGCAGTTTGGCAGTGCCCCTCAGATCTTTGCGATTTTAAGCTCTAAGTGGCTCTGCAACTGTTCTGGACTGGCGTGTAGTTCACCATTAGGCGCACGACTTTTTCGTCCTGTCAATTGATATTCCAAAAAAAAAAACAGTTTTGCTGCATCTTAAGATAATACTATTCACATAGGAAGGTGAAGCTGGACTTTCAAGTAATTATAGTGGCGCCTTTTAAAAAATAGACAATAGATGTCCCTTCACAAAAGCAACATATTTTAGTATAAGTGTACATTTACCTATTCATGGATAATAATGGTAAAGTGTATCTCAAATGGTATCATTTGACCCATGAAACACAGCTAGGATTTAGTATACTATGAGATATATCAATTATGTGAAAAAAAGATAATCTAAACTAACCTGAGAATTATTCCGAATGTATCTAACGCCATTTTATTACATCATCAACCGATGTAATCAAGGTAGATGCGTTAAATATGTAACACATATATAACGTATCTACCATGATTACTCCTATCTTCTTAAAACATCAAAGCTTTTCATATTCTCATATATGAACGATTTCTTTTTTATCGGGCTAGACGTTAGGTAGGTATTGTATAAATTTGATCGATAAGTGAACACCTCGCTTCCGGCGGGCTCAAGTGGCTTTTGACCTTTTTTGGGCTTGCAATGACGAAGCTCCTTCCCGCACAAATGACTCGATACCGATCTGCCATAGACATTTCAAATAGTAGGAAGTTTGCGCAAAGGTATACTATAGCAATCTAATATTGAAATCTAAATTCATATTACAGAGTATTTCTATGAAGAAGGGATTTTATTAGAACAACCCGAAAACGAACAATTTTAATAAAAAAAAAGAGAAAACAGGAATTTGCTCCAGTAGGTATGAATATTTTAGTCTCTATAGAAACACCTTTAATATACATGTATTAAATACATATCTACACTATGAATACCTCAACTTTTCCAAAAGTTCAACTTTGATTTTGACGTCCCTAAACTTCTAATGTCTTTATACTTCCTAATCCTTATTGAGGTGTATCGGCTTTCGGTCATCAGATCAGTTTCGTCACTGTTGAGGACCGTGATGTGATCTAAAGCAACATCTTTTGGCAAATTGTTTGTTATTATATTGCCAATAATTTGGTCGTAAAATTTTCAGTTATTGATGTCACACGCACATGAATATTGAATATATTCATGAAAGCACTCGCGGATAGCGTCAAAATAGAATTATCAGTCGTTTCAGGCAAAAAACTGCAACGGAGTGGCTTTTAATGTTTTTGCAGCTCGCGAACTTAAAAGTTCGAGGCACGGTTTTGGCTTTTATTGCACTCTCCGCTCCAACACTAGCATATAAATCAACTTACTGAAACTTAAGCTTGATATGTGAGAATAGTACATTACTATCGAGTAATTGATTATTAGAAACATCTTTATTTTTTAAGTGTTTTATTGAATGTCAGGATGTTTCACCACCATGATATTCAATTATTTTTTGTGAAATTACTCCACTAGTTTGTTATAATACTTGAACCTGAAAAGCAGCATGTAGTGATGAGGTTCCGTCCTTTTCAAAGGCACTAGAGCCATATTTCCGAAACTGTCAACTTGGTGTTAACCTTTTTATTGTAAAAATGTGCCCATGAATATTTATTACAATACAAGAGACAAAAACCTTCGAGCTGGTCGGAACCGACGTCGTCTAGCAAACCGTGCGAGATACTATGCCAACTAAGCCACGTAACGAACCAGCGAACCTCACGAATTTTTTTATGTACTTGTATTATTACTATTTTTTTATGTTGTCGGATCTTTGTATCTGATTTTTAACGAATTTTAGACCGTAGCGCCATCTATGAGAAAATCTACGAAAGTATTTCGTCACCCAGTTAGGCACCTTTAGAGCTACCAGCCCTGGCTAGAGATGTCGCTATCCACTGTAATTAAGTGTTTTATTGAATGTCAGAATTTTCACCATCATGATATTCAATTATTTTTTGTAAAATTACTCCTCTAGTTTTGTTATAATTAATAATACAAATCTTTATTTTTTGTTTTTTTGTTTTCTGGCAAACCATTAAGAATACGCAGAACGGATAAAAATAAAAAAATTCTAACACAATGAGAGTTTCTTCACATGGCGATCAATCAAATAACGAAGCTGTAGTTACGCATGGCGGTCTTGGAGTGCGTCGAGTGCAGGGTGTAGGCTTTGTGGCATTCTTGGCTTCCTCTTATGGCTCTGCGGATCTCGTTGCTCGCATTTTAGCTCAAGATGGCAGCGGAATTCGCATGCCATTCCAGTCAGAGGCTTTTGCAAGGTGGTTAAGCCTTTGCCCGAGCGACGAACGCCCAGACAATATTTG